ACTGAAGGCAGCAACCTAACAGGAAACCTGGCCTTGATGGCAGGGGTCACACCTGCCCCTGTGGAGCAGCAAGGAGGCCTCAGACACAAGAACCATGAACCATAACCTGGTGAAACAGTGCGCTGAGCTGGAGTCCTGGGCCCAGCCTCAGAGCCAGTGGAGGGAGGACAACCAGACAAAACCTTCCAGATTCAGCCCCACGTCACTGCAAGGCCTTTGGCACCTGGGCCTCTGTAGGAATACATAGCTCCTGTAGGCGCTCCTAGCCAAGGCTTGACTTAGCCCTGGTTTTCCTGGGGTGAGAGGAACAAAGCTCTCTTGAGAAGTCTTCGCCCTTCCTCTTCAGGTGCTTAAAACCACCACCCCAAGCCCGGCACCATCCACTTCCACCTCCCATTACTCGCCATTTCAGTTCACTCACATGGTTGTTGGAATAGGGTCTTTGGCTGCCCTTTATTAACAAAAATACTGTGTTTCCAAATCATTACCCTAATAAATCTAGGTCAGCACTTCTCCCTCCTAAATAAAGGGGCAGAGACAGGCCTTCCTACATTTGCCCTACTTTATGTGGGGCCCCCATGGCCTCATCACAGGACAAAGTTCTAACCCTCTTAGGCAGGTGCCCGTCTCATGAGCTCCAGTCCACATTCCAGGACGCTGATTCTGGCAGGCAACCCCTTTATTTCGGCTACCCAGTCTCAAATACTGAACCGCTCAAAGCCGTACCCTTTAAGGTACCTGGGAAAGGAACTTTACCAGCAGGCTGTGTCTACCTGTCGCTCACCTGCCCCAGGGACCCTTGGGAGTTGCTCTGGGTCTGGCAGCTCGGGGCGCCTCTGCCCGGCCCTGGCGTCTGGGGCCGCGGCTGCAAGGCCGCCATCTTGACGCGGGCACGCGGGGAAGTCCTCGGGCTGGAAAATCCGCTCAAGCTATGCTGTGGGTCACCCGCGCGGGGACGCTGGGACCCAGCGGGCGTGAGTAAAGGGCTCTGGGGAGGATCGTGCAGGACGGGGGGTGCATGCCTGGCGAAGGATACCGGGGCTCTAGCCCCTGGAATGAGGAACGACGGGAAAGATCCCAAGAACTCGGCAATGCTCTAAAACGCCATCGCCGTGTGATGTGCCTCCATTCGCCCGAGCCCCGGTGGGTCCCGGGCACCAGGTCTGCTTCCTTCCCTCCACCTGGCCCCGCACTCAAGACGAAGGATGTCCCCACGGCTCCTGAGCTACCCGGCGTACGCAAACCTCGTGGACCCGCGTGGCCTTTGCAGAGCAGGGGGCGGGGCGAGTGACGCTGACGCGGCCGTTGCCATGGGAACCCGCCGCCCGCTCCGGAGCGGTGGCCGAAGCCGGAGCTGCCGCCCGCCGC